TCCAGCTTGACCCGGTGCCAGCTATGCCGAGCCCTGCTAATGCAGCACCGCTGACTCGGGTAATACGCAATTTCTTTTACTAGAACATACTGCAAAAAGTTTGCTTTTTTCGCTTTCCCGGTGGAGCCGAAAACTTTCGTTTTCAAAGTATTCCGTTTCGGCGCTGTAACAAACAACTTCTAATTTTTCATCAAGGTCATAAGTCCTCTCTGCGTACAGCAGAATTTCTGCAGCTTTACACTCAAGATTAATATATGTTAGAGAAAGATCTCAATGATCGTACAAGTTTGCGTCAAAATTTCGCAGTCCAAAAATCTTCGCAATTCTTGCGATGTGCAATTGTGGACCATTTAACAAACAATATAGGTTAGCAAAGATTCTGCCACATCCTGGTTGTTTCGGAGCAAGTAGCGTGAGTGAAAAAGTTTGGATTCTGTTTGTTGTTTAAGAACACTTCCAAACGAAAGCACAGAGTAACAAGAGAAAGAAGACCTTCAGATGAGGCGATTTTTTTCCATGAAAAATGGTTTTCTTCCGAAAACCGACACTTCTGAGAGGTTCGAAGAACTATGGTTATAAGAACCTGTTCTCATGTTGTAAGCTCAGTTGTCTTACTTCAAACTATCTCTCGGTGTAGACGCCGCATGATTGAAATCTTTCAAGGAACAACCGAGCAAAAAGAAACTTCTTCAAAACAAACAGTTTGGAAAGGCAGTCGTCAAAGGAATGAAGGTGATGTCCAAAATCACAACAATAAAGTACAAAGTACAAATGTTCAAACCTTGCAATCCAGCTCTTTGATGCACTGTTCCACGCACTGCTCCATGGTTTCCACAAGAGTGACATTACGAGCAAAGCCAATTAATACAGAATCGTCAGCTCGGATGAACTGCCCATCAGCGCATTCCATAGGAACAGAATCTGCAAAAGCTGCCCTTGAGTTAGGTAGGCAGCGTAAAGAAAATCTGAGTATTGAAATTTGTGTTTACTTCAAGCGTGCGAAACACCATACCTCCTAGGCAAACCTTCTCAAAGTAGCGTTTGCCTACTGCTTGAACGGCATCTCCTTTGCCCTCAGGCTTAGCCTTTTCCTTGAAGATTGTGCATGTGAAAGATACATGATCATAGACGAATGACGCACACAAAATAGATCGCCCGTAGCGGTCCTAGATAACAAGCATAACATGCAAGAGTCCAAGATTGAGTTTGTAACCAAGACGCACCCTGTTTGTTGAACAAGTACTCAAACAGTCTTCTTCGGGGGTGTCCTTGTATACCATTGAATCCACTGTCCCGAGTATGGTGTTGTCAATAACAAAGAATCCGGTAGCCTTATTTTCACAGACAGCTGAAAAAGTGCGTTTATGCCGTTCTCATAAAAAATGAATCCTTAGTTTCGTCTGCACTTGAATATTATCGGTAGACTGGTTGCGCTTAACTAAAGAGGATTGGACCCGTTAGCATTGTCCCGTCCCGATTTGTTGCGATCAGGGAGAAGGTGATGGGCGTAATTGCATTTGAACTTGATGTTAATGTGGGTCAGGAATCGGTGAAATTGAGATACGTGCGGGAATGCGATTTCGATTTCAATCACCTTTCGAGGATAGCAGTAGTGACATCGCTAAAGGATGCTACAGCACAGTCGCAAGCGAAGAAGTTCAATACAAAAAAATTGTCGTTACCGGCAGAGCGTTCTCAATGATTCGGACAGAACGACTAAAAATTCGCGAAGATTTAAGCGATTACCGAAATTTTTCTGTAGTGTTACAATACTAAGCGTTGGGGAATTGTTCTGTGATGTCTGTAGATAGACAAATACATGACATGACTATGACTTTTGTCTGACTGAGCCGCGACACTTCAAATGGACAGAAAAGGGGAGCAATATTTTGAAGCAACTCTGAATTAATTACCCCCATTTTCGATGATCAGAGGCTTGTCTCCCGCGGACGAGTAGCGAATCAGGGCTAGTAACGACAGAAACGAGGCAGTGGCGTGCTGCATTGCTGAAACGACGACGGTCCGTGTTGTAGTGGTCAGTCAGCTAAGGCGGAGAGGGCGTTTTCTGATGGCCGCCTGTAGACGAGGCGTTGTCCGGCCCGAAATCGGGTCATCCAGGCGATCCGATCCCCGGATAAGTGCACACACACAACACACATTCCCGCAAATCGTTCGCCCATCATCCCATCGCCTTGGGATGCTTCACCTCATACTCCGAGAAGAAAAGCTCATCTGATCTCGATGGACTGACTTCTGCTCCCTGCCTGTTTCAATAAAAATATTAACACAAAAGGATATAAAACTTCACTTCTCCTGCGAAACGGCACCTGTTTAGCTGAAACTGGAATGTCGCAAAGACTACAGTGATAGTTGAGCATAAGTAAGCAGATCAAGTTCACTGTTTCGCGACAAAGAAAACTCCTAAATTCTTCTATAGAAATTCGTGGAAGCGTAAACTCCTACAGCGCTTGAGCACTTCGTAGCTCCAACATCAGTGCTACAGGTTGAAAAGATCAAAGGGTCAATAAGATTTCCACACCCTAATTACAAGTGTCCGCTGATGCAAGGAAACATTTGTTTTGATCCGTCTCTGTTTGCAGATGAAATACCGATAACGACGCGATCATAGAAATCATGCTCGCGAAACGCTGTTCCTTGGTTTCTTTAGATTGCCTACAATCCCAGATGCTGTCGAAGCAATGGACGTTTGAATAGAGTTGCAAAAAAGCGTATATCTTGACTCCCAGGAACAGTATACTTAATTTAAGCCTCCGCTCTCCATAAAGTGAAGACCATGCAAGCGGAGATCTCACCTAAACATGCCACATTTCCATATGCAAAAATTAGATGAAAATGATTTTCTACAATAGAAGGGTACTTGGTCGAAGTGGTTTCTCCATATGAAATGCATACTATCCTATAGAGCCTGGAATGCTGATTATACATCTGCTTTCTTTATCTGGAAAGCACTTCTGAGAGGGAGTGCTGAGAATTTGGTGTTAAAATTTTGATGATCTTGTTAAGGTCAAAAGATGTTGAGTTCTTTCCTTCGCTTAAAAGGTGTAATGACGGAATTCACTAGACTAAGATATTTGTTGCATAAGCTGCCGTGGCAGTAACCATGGTCCCCATTTGAGCCCACGGACTGATGTTATAAACGATTTTATTGTAACCGTGCTTTTGAATCTTTTCATGAAAAATCCCACAACTCTCCTCCGAAAAGCGCTTGCAGATATCGAAAGCAATTTTGAACAGCGTTCCATGCTCTACATGATAGCAGATATTTTGTGTGGAAATGCCACTTCGAACAGATAACTTCCCTTGCTAGAAGGATGAATGCACGTCAGGCTTATTTTATCTTTTTGGGGCTTATTTTTCATGCATTTTTTCTTCTTTTTGTTTCTGACCGACGTTGTTGTCCGTCTTTCCCTCCCTAGATTTCGGAGTGTGGATAAGCTAAGCACAGAAAA